GTGTGTGAGAGTCTGGGACCATGTGTGTGTGTGAGAGTCTGGGACCATGTGTGTGTGTGAGAGTCTGGGACCATGTGTGTGTGTAGAGAGTCTGGGACCAGGTGTGTGTGTGTGAGAGTCTGGGACCAGGTGTGTGTGTGAGAGTCTGGGACCAGGTGTGTGTGTGGAGAGTCTGGGACCAGGTGTGTGTGTGGAGAGTCTGGGACCAGGTGTGTGTGTGGAGAGTCTGGGACCGGACCAGGTGTAGGGGGTTATCTCCTGCAGGTCTGTGATGATCAGAACTTCTCCTTCAGAGAACATCACCGTGTGCAATCAGTGCGTTGTTGTGTTGTGTTGTGTTGTGTTGTGTTGTGGGTCTGCGGGTCCCGAGGCAGGTTCCTGGTCTCCATGGCTGTCTCTGCTCTGATTGGTCGGACGTTTCCAGGTGGAAACTTCAGTAAAACCAGGTCCTGCTGGCGCTCGGCTCGGCCTCCACGGACCTGAGCCTCCTGCAGCTGTGAAGAAGGGGCGGGGCTTAGAAAGGCTGGAGTGTGTCGTCATGGTGACGCCTCTCTCCTCACCTCATTGGCTGCCTCTGGTTTTAGTACAGTGAGAGGTGGATATTCTCAGGTGGTCACACACCTTGTCATGATACCTTAGTTTCCTCATCAGGTTCTAAATGTTTAACTTCCTGTAAAACTGCATTCCTGCTCATTGTTCCGTCTGACTCCGCCCACTTTGTTCCCCCACCTCTCTGTCCAGCCCCAGGTTTGAGCTGCCAGAAAATTTATCAAAAACGATGGTTTTATGAAGTTTTAAATAATATAAATGCTGAGTCAGCATTCCCAACATTTATTTATTTATTTATTTATTTATTTATTTATTTATTTATTATTATTTTTTTTGCTGTAGGATTTATTTTGACCTGTAACACTTTAGCATTTTTTTTTACCCCATGCTTGTATTAAAAAGTTAAACTGATTTGCAACATTTAAAATATTTAAAATCTAATCCAGTCTTTAATGAATTTGAGGCCCAAATAAAATCTGTTTTTATTTCTGGTATTTATTTAATGACACATTTTCATTCTGAGCATAAATCGGAGCGTAATTATTAAAAGTTACCAGGAAATAATTTAACAGATGAATAATTTAAAATGAAAAAGTCAGTGATTTATTATAGAAACTCTGCAACAGGTCAGATCCTGATCAGAACTGTGAGGAAGTTAAATCCACGCGGTCCCACCGTAAACTTTTATAGTTTGTTTAAAACTGTAAGTAAAGTATTTAATAGTTAAAAGCAGATAAAGTTAAATGTTTGACTTTTTGCCGTAGCAGTGAACAGTTTCCTGCTCGGACCCGGTGCTGCTGGGAACACTTGGTTCTGCTCACAAAGGTAACCCGGGAGTTTCACAGGATTGTTGACAGGTCTGAGCTGCTGCCAGAGAGACAACACTCAGCAGTCATTTCTGCTGCTTTCACTCCCTGAGAACCAACAGGAAGTGATCCTGAAAACACCTGCTGAGCCGTGAGTCTGCGGTCATCATGACAGGTGGTTCCTGACCCGACCCGGTTCTGTGGGGAATCATTTCCTGCCTGTAAAGTCTGATAGATGTGATGTAAGGAGAATAAACTCTGATTTAATAAACGTTTATTTTGTATTTAAAGGACTTCCTCAGGTGTTTGGTCACACCTGTCCTCCTGCTTTGTGTTTATTATTAAACATGTCAGAAACATGTTGATTTGCATGTTTTCATGCACCACTGAAAAGGTTTTGTTTAAAGTAAAAAAACAAAACAAAAAGGAAGTGAATCTAAATGGGTTTTAGGGAAAGTAGCTGTGCCCATATTTGGTCGTGGTGGGCGGGGCCTGTTCCAGCAGGTCAGTCACATGAACATTCTTCACCTGCAGATTTCTTTTTCTGTCTTTTTCTGCTGCGTCGTGAAGAAAACCTCAGATTTTATCTGCAGACTCAACATGACTCGGCATTTAGTTAAAGTATTTATCAGGCGTTTTTTTTCACAAAAACACAACTTTGTTACGGTTTTCATGGTGAATAAATTGAATTATCTTTATTACAGAGATTTTTAATTTTAGTTTCACAAACCACTTTGTTTCCCCTGAAGAGCCTGAATGTAGGAGGAAAACTGGATCATCACATGTTTGTGTTTTAAGCTCCAAGAGCTTTTCTCAAAGTTTTATCCCATGCTGAAATGTAACTGTGTGTTTACAAACTCTACTTAAATAATCTTATCAAAATAAAGCAACACTTGGGAGATTTCATCACAAGTGTCAGTATTAAAACAGCTGCTGTGGTTTCAGACATATTAAGGATGGAACATGATTTTTAAATTATTTTTTCCACTCTCACCTGTATCATTTTTTGCATTAAACAGTATATAACCCATTTAAACCCATAATGAATCAGGCTGAACACCCCTGGAAACCATAAATCCACTTGTGGACATTAAAGATTCATGCTGCTAAAATGAACTGGAGCAAAGTTGCAGAGGTTTTAATAAAGAAATAATTTAGTGTTTTATCTTTCTGCACAGGACAGACCATGATGTTCCATTAACAAATGTAAAGAAATGTTAGGTTTTAATTGCAAAGGTTTTTTTTCTTACCTACCTTAAATGACTTGTTATTGAATGTTCTTTTGAAAAAAAATCTATTTATTTGTCACCATAAACATTATATAAAAATAATGAGGAATTATATTTGACTTCAGTTGGACCATATTCATTCAAAATCAAGTTAAAAAAATAAAAAATACTTAAAAAAACTTTACAACATATTCAGGTATCTACTTTGACTGACTTTAAATAATGTCAACATTTTTCATTTTACAGATTAGTTGTAACGTATTTACAGATTAGTTGGACTGTATTTACAGATTAGTTGGACTGTATTTACAGATTAGTTGTAACATATTTACAGATTAGTTGTAACATATTTACAGATTAGTTGTACCGTATTTGCAGATTAGTTGGACTGTATTTGCAGATTTTGTAACGTATTTGCAGATTAGCTGGACTGTATTTGCAGATTAGCTGGACTGTATTTGCAGATTAGCTGGAACGTATTTGCAGATTAGCTGGACTGTATTTGCAGATTAGCTGGACTGTATTTGCAGATTAGCTGGA